CATTCATATCTATATATATATATATAGATATAGATATAGACATAGATGTAGATATAGATGTAGATACAGATATAGACTTATACTTACAGATATAGATGTATATATATATATACATACATACATACATACATACATACGTATGTCTGTATATGCGCATGTATAGATGTGGATGTGCACGTGCATGTGGACACTGACATGGGCATGCGCACGTGCAGAACTTGCACGTGGGTATGTGTGCATGTAGTTGTTGTATGTGTATTTTCAGTGTATGTGTATTTGTACATGTTTACCTGTATGCATGCTTATATGTATATCTCAGTGCAACGGCTATAATTGCTATAATGCAATGCGGTAAAGTGTCCGAGACTGTAAGGAAACACAGTGTAACGTAACACAATGCAACACACATTACATTACGTTACCTAATGTAACGAAACATTGCAATGCAATGCGATGTGTGGCAATGGACCGCGATGCGATGCGATGCATTGCAGCGTCGCCCGACCCCCCACCCCCCCTCACCCCTCATTCCATGGTATCCCCCCCTACACCCCATTATGCTTCCCCAGCCCGCTCTGTGCTCCGCCGCGGGCCCCCGGACCTCTGGGTGGCCTCATGGTTGCGGGTTTTGGGTTGTTCAACCCCCGTCGTCCCCCTGTGGTGTGGTGGTGGGTTTTGGGTTATTTAACCCCCCCCCCCCCTGTAGCGTGGTGGGGTCTGGCGCGCTGGTGGGTTGTGGGTTTCAGGTTTAGTGTTTAACCTTCCCCCCTCCCTGTGGTGTGGTGGTGGGTGTTGGGTTAGGTTGAGGGTCAGCAACTGGGGGCGGCGCATACCGAAACCATGGCCCATCCAGGTGAGTGTCTCCACTTTGAACACGCCATGAAGCATAGCTTCAAAAGTCACAACACTCACGATGATCCCGGGTTCGGGGGGCCCATCCCTGTGACTGTTGGCGCACTTTTTAGACAAAAGTGACGACCCTCACAAGAACTTCGGGTGTATACCAATGGGGGGGATACCAGGGTAGATGGGGCGTACCGACACGCGACGCGAGACCATATGGTGCATGCATGGCTATGTGCATTGGTGCGTGTGCTCCCTTTGGTAACTACGCATGCATGCATGCATGCATGCATGCATGCATGCATGCATGCATGCATGGATGAATGCATGGATGGATGCATGGATGGATGCATGGATGGATGCATGGATGGATGCATGGATGGATGCAGGGATGGATGCATGGATGGATGCATGGATGGAGGGATGGAGGGATGGAGGGATGAAGGGATGGAGGGATGGATGGAGGGAGGGATGGAGGGAGGGAGGGAGTGAGGGAGGGAGTGAGGGAGGGAGTGAGGGATGGATGCTTGGATATCCTTACATACATTAATGTATACTGTATACTCCATCCTTCTGCGATTGAGGCCCGGACATTGCCATAAGTTCCAAAGACTTGTGTCAGAACCTACAGGTCAACGCAACGATCAACAATGGGGACAAGCACACGCGACTTCATGCACAGCACATTCACAAGTCGCGGCCTCAGGTGTGATGTCCGGCGGGAGATTCCTGGCAACTGAATGCAACCGACACTTCTCGGTCCTGGAGTCTAGATCGGTCTGCTTACTGTGTCAAGTGCTAACGTGGAGGGAAAGCTCCACTCGCCAGTTGTTCGAAGCAAGAAGTGATAAAGATTCTGTGCCATATGTCGCCCTGTTCTCAGCCTATTAGTGGTAGTACAGAATCATCATTAACCTTTGCATTCCTTGCAACCCGTCCGCTCGACATCCTTCCGAAGGGGACCTGTTGTGAGGTACTGAAGATGCGCCAACTCTCTGGGCGGCCCTTGAAGACTTGCGATTTCTTGATTTCGAAATTAGCTCAACTTCGTCACCATCATCCACGGTGCTTGACATTGCCGTGCCCTGAACGTGTCCAACTTACCCATGGCCTTTGCCTGGCGGCCTGTTCAATGGACTTCCCAAAGCCTGGGACCCCGAAGTCTACGACAGATTGTAGCGGCAGGGTGGGTGATAAGCTCGCTATCCACATGACCACCCATCAACCTCAAAACAACTTCAAGCAGGATCGCAGCACCCGACGAAAAGCTTCGCTTTGGCCACAGCACCTTGCTGATGTTCACAGCACACTCAGAAACTGAATCGCCTGCTGGGCTTCAGAGGTAATAGACATAGATGTACAGCGTGTGAGGTTCGTGCCGTCGCCCCCTTGCCACTGGCCACCACCTCCTTGCCACTGGCCTCCTTTGCCACAGCCACCGCCGCAACCGCAGCCGCCACCTTACACAGACAATCAAACAATCGCAACGGGGAGCAATCATCGAGCCTAAATGCGCCTCTGTATGCACATCCCTACTGCCAACCTCCGCAGCGTTTATCATGCATGGCCCTTCAAGCACTGCACAATACACTTATTGCACTCTTACCCATAGTAAGAAAGGTAAGGAGGTGCACGTAATCTGGACAGCGAGGAGGGCGGATTGCAATCTTCGGCACTCATTTTCAGAAGTTCGTGTGACGAGGAATGGAACATGTCGCCAGTCCTGAAACACAACTTGCTGAGGCTGCTGCCCCAGCCGCCACAGCCGCAGCCGCCACAGCCGCAGCCGCCAGGGCCACAGCCACCGCAACCCCCACAACCGCCACAGCCTCCGCATCCTCCAAAGCCGCAGCCGCCACAGCCACAGCCACCGCAGCCACCGCATCCACCACAGCCACAGCCTCCGAAGCCGCCGCAGCCTCCACAGCCACCACCGAAGCCACCATAGGAGGCTCCGCAGCCGCCATACCCACCGCCTCCGCAGCTACCGCCGAAGCCTCCACCACAGCCTGCAATCTTGCCGAAGCAATTCAAAAATTGAAACTAAGTTGAACCAAGCAAGATGACTTAGACTTAGCATGGCTTTGACGAAGAGCTTCCATGCCAAAGCGGGTCCTCCTCCACCTCCGGAGAAGCCACCGCCACCTCGCTGATTCTTCGCCCAGGACACCCGGATTGGGTTCCCTCCCTGCCACGATAAGCAGGACAAAAGCATCTGCTCGGCTGACTTAGTGCGCCCAGGCCTCTCTCAAAGTGAGCGCATTGTCCATGCCGCTGATGGCGCTGTCGCCAGACGGTTTACTGAGCAGTCACCAGCCAGATGCAAAGCAGGCGTTTGGAGGAACGGATACGAAGGATACGAAGGATACGAAGGATACGAAGGAGATGCAAAGGTTACCCAAGGGTGTTTCAAACCCCAGTGTGCTTGACACCTTCACATCCACATTGAATGGCTTTTGGGGCATTCTGTGCAGAGCGCCGACCTGTCGTAGACCACGAATGCGCAGGCCTGGCGCAGATAGCAGCTGAGGAGGAGGGGAAGAGGCTCCTGTCGCCAGTGCCCATCCCAGCGAGGCCTGCCCGGAAGTGGACTTACCTCTCATGATGTGGTGTTCCAGGACGTTGCCTGCACATGGTGCATGGCTCGTCTGGCTCATGACCGCTCGCACCCAGTGCGCCCCAACCCCTGAATGTACTCTTAACCCTTGCAGCCGCTGTCTGGATTCCCCGAGCCCAATGCCATACGTCCCGAAGGCGGTCTTGATCTCATCATCCGTGATGTCTGGCCTGAACCACTCACTAGAATAATCAGCTGAATGCACTCGAAAGAACGAAGTGCTTCCTGGCTGCAAGCTGCCGTTTCACACCAAGAATAAACACAGCAACCTGAGACGCACGCGGTAAGCTGCCAACAAACAGCTTGTGCTTATCCTGGCCACAACAGTTCGCGCAAATACGAAGTCGATCAAAATCCTAGGCTGCGGTAATCCACAGTGAACTCAAGATCGATGCATGTAAAGCTGCCCGTGTCCTCGGCCATGCCGCTAGGAGGCAGACTTCAAAACGACAAGCTGAATCTTATGTTTGCGTATGAAGGGTTGGAGTGGTGGTGTTGACCCCTGGCTGCCCTAGCGTGAGATGTCAGCCGGGTTGCTTTTCTCTGTTGGCTCGTCAGTTGTATTGCACAACCCTGACATGAACTAAAATGGTCCCCATTTTGCCTGCAAGCACAACGAGCAGCAGCACAGAGATGGCCCTGTCCAACACCAGAGCATACCACCACAGTTAGTTCACATCTTCTCATGCCCTCTCAAAGCCCTAGTAGTGCGAATCAAAGCATGTCCATCAAGGCATCGTGTCTTCTCGCCAAAGCAGAGCAAGACTTTACGGAGCGCTGCACAAGCATCTCGTGCCTACCGTGCCTCCTTGCCGGCGCGCGACTGTTTTTCAAGCCCCGCGCTCGTCACCTACGCCTTCAGCTGATTGCAAGGTCCATGCTGCGCAAGACGAAGAACAACCTTGCAGGAACCAGCACCCGGAAGCCATGTCTACTGCCTGAACTGCCACAGAACTCTGCACACGTGAAGCGCGGTCAGCAACAAGGAAAGCCATCACAGCCGTGCGTGTCTTGCGTCCAGCCATGCCGACAGCAGTCACCTACTGCATCGAACAGACTCCCTTGAAAATTTTGAATCAACGAACAGCTGAAGGTCACAAGTACAACCCCACAGTCGTTTGAGGGCGAGCAGCGTGGCGGCACTCACAAAGAAGGCGCCCAACATCGCCAACGCAAAGCGCCTCCCAAAGCAGAAGCGGCCAGCAGCCGGCACACAACGAGATTCGGTGAAGAAAGTTGTCTGAATCCTTGCCGCTGCCAGCTGTGCAGTTCTGCTACAGGGTCCTGGAAGCAGGAGGCATTCACAGAGACATGCGTGCAAAGGCCTAGCTTAGCTCACAGGCATGCAAGCACAGCTGCCTGCACAAGGCGCCATGTGAAGAATATGGGGTACGGGTGGGATCTTCTATCAGTACCTCGCGATGGAAGCTTGTCCTCTAGCCAGTGGAAGAAGACCGGGTGCTGGCTGATCATCTGAGTCAACGCTGGCTGAGACACCCCGTGCCCCAGGCTCGCCCATGGCAATGAGCCTTTCCCATTCGTCACGTTAAGCCTGCCCCCTGCTGGAGAGTCTATCTAGACGTGGACGAGCATGGGTGATGTAGAGCTGCGAAGAAGCAGAGGCGTGAGGAGCTAGCAATTCAAGAAGTGCAATCACAAACAAATTCGCTGCTACGGCCCTATACGGCCCTGCGACTGGAAACACTTGCCATGTGCGCTTCGTCTCGGAGGAGTCTTTACATTGCTTTACATCTGACGCAACAGCGTGTGTGTTTCTACACATCAAGCAGCAGAGCACCGACAAATGAGATGTGGTCGCGATACTTTGGGGAAGTCGGAGCAAAAGAAGCGTTTCAGTTTCAGGACTCGGGCCCCGACCTTGAACTTGCTCGCAGCCTGCAGCACGGCGAGCCTCTGCCCAGCGCACTCTGCAGAGACGAGCCAAGAGACAGTGGGGGACACTCAGCCGCAACCAGAGCGCCTGTAGAATGGAACGTCGGTGTTCTCCATGAGCCTCAGGCCACCTGAGTCACTACAAGTCACTGACACCCGGAGCAGCGTTCGACCTCTCTAGGTCCGTTTCCTGATGCGGCCCTGGCTTTTGGCCCGGCGACTCCCTGCATCGCCGCAGGTGAAGTTGCTGCCATCCTGCTGACACCCGAGACAAGACCGGGACAGAGACCGTTTCTCATTACTCTCGTTCCTCCCTGTCGTGATCTCTTGATTCTGCCATGAAATACCGTTGCTACCGTAGGAGCGAGTCCTCAGCACAGCAGTTCTTCCTCAGCTGGCAGCTGCGAGCACTCGCTGCAAACACTCAGACGACGTCCCCCCGCGGGCTCCGCAGTCTGCAGTCCCAGTGGCCCGACGGCCCAGAAATCCTGGCCGCACGGCTCGCCTGAGCGGCTTTAAGTGGCTCAGAGAACGAGGCTTGAGATGCCCTGAGGCTGCCACGACAAAGCTTGTTCTTGATCGGTGCCACGCAATACCTGTGACTTTGATGGACATCGGGGAGCGTTCATGCATGATCATGCGCTTTCCGAGGGTGCGTGACACCGACAAAACACTTGCACCCGGGGGGGAGACGAAATCTCAAGCAGCAGTTCTGCCGAGCCGCCACGGTTGTTGTGTAAGCAAGATCACGACACCGTGCGAGCTGGCACGATGCGGATGAGGAGGCATGTATTTCTTCCAAAACGGCCACCCACCCCAACCCCAACCCACCCAGATAAGGTGTCAGTTGGGCCAGGCAACTAGCGCCAGTGCGCCGTCGCCGTGTGCAAGGCCCTTGTCTCCGATGCTGTTGGCAGGGTGGTGAGGAAGGCATGTGAAGGCATGACTGCCATTCTCCACCGATCGCGATCTGCATTCGATCGGACCTTGCGGTAGGAATTCTGCCTCGACTACCTGGGGGGCTTGCACATCCGCCAGCTTGAAGCTGAAGGACCTCGACACCGGGCACGCCCTTCGGATCTCAGTTGAATCCAAGGATCCCAGCCTGTTTACATCAAGTATCGTGTCGTGCTGGAAATACACCTGACAGTGCGGCTTGACAAGTCGAGGCAGCCGGGCGCCTTGCAGCCTCGCCTTGCCAGCATCCCCAAAGCGCCCACCGCTGGTCGGCACTACCTCCAGGAAGCAGGGACCGGGAAAGCCACCGGCCACCGGAAGCCCAGAGGCTGTGCCTGCCCATCTTGCAGCTGGGTCGACGAAGGATCCACCTGGCGGCTCAAGACGAATCGTCTGCTCCGAGGGCTCCGAGGCTTCGCCTCCGTGTAGGGTACCATCTGCATGGCGGAGTAGCTCGGCTCCATGAAGCTGTAGAAAGTGAAGTCTCCCATGCCCTCAGAGGGACGGAGGCAGTCTCTAGCATCTCACTCAAAGCTTTCCGCGCCGGAATTGGCTGCCTCAGAAAAGCCTTTTGGGGGATGCAAGTGCCAAGCACGATGCGCATCGCACGCAGAGCATGCGGAGACTGACCGTATAGTGCTCGAGACTCGAGGTCCTGTACATGATGGCGACCAGCCCTCACACCTGCGACTTCAAACAAGGTCGAACTTGAACTACAGTAGCTGTGGGGTTTCCTGAGCTTAGAGAAATTAGGGGTTGATTCGTGTGGTTTGCACGCAAATTCCTGTGAGACTGAAGAACACGCCCTTCAAAGGACGCATCCCGGAACTGTGAGACATCGGGTGAAAGAGCGGAGTTTGCTCTAGTGACACGTATGGCCGGCCTCTGTCTCTGCTAGGCAAAAGCCAGAATTACTGCGAAGTTCTACATAGTTCTGTGGTCCAATCCTATACTGGTGCACCCAGGTTTCGGCTCTTGTTCACGGCACATGCTTGATCCGGCCACAGGCTCTGGAGATCACGCGTCCAGCTCATCCCACCTGGGAGTCTCGGCACTTGCAGGATGCATCCTATTCGCACTTGTCTGCCCTCACAGAGCCGTTTTCGGACTGCTTTCAGGGTCTGGGTCGCATGCTGAGCTTCGGTATGGTGAAGTTTAATGCCCTCAGACACGATTTCCACTCGCACGAACTCGCTACCATGATATTCGCAGGATCGACGTACCTGAGAATCAGCATTCCTGAAGTGTACTGCTTCAGGCCTGTCCGGCCACTTCGTGTCGACATGCAAACACAGCACGGATTGTACCGTCGTTGGTGCTGCCATGCCGTTGGCTTTGGAAAGCCGCCAATGCCGGTCACAAGCGGAGCAGTGTCGTCCTATCCCTGTGGAATGAATGCGCGACACACAATGGCATTTGCGTCGTTGGCATCTAGAAGTATCTGCGTCTGTTAGATGCCTGATCCCTTCGAAAAGCACGTCTCTGTGCTCGACATGCGTCGGGGCATTCAAACCGGAAATTGGACACGAAGCACAGACCAAGAAGCACGGAAGCAGAGGTCGGTCAAGAATGGGGCTCGTATCGCCAAGCACGCACGGTGAGATGGAAGCAAGCTACATTATGTTTAAGTAAAGAAAACTCACGCATGAACCACACCAAGCAAACCGCAGAAAGAGAACCGTGGTGCTCCTTATGTAATTGTGCAACAGACATCGCAAGATGCCACCGCACATCATGGAAGCACCCCTTCTTTTGCTCATGTCGTGCTGCATGTAAACTAACATCACGCATTTGCTCCGCTCCGTTGTATGCGGAATAATTACAACTGGCACACAAGAGTCTTAGAACGGAGCACAAGAAGAGAATGAATGCTTAAGTTTCATAAAAAAAAATTGGTATTTATAATCAATTCGCTCTTCATTCTCTGATTCCTCATTTCCTTGCAAGCGAAAACTGCAAAAGAAAAATGACAAAAATGAGCACGTTGAATGAAGCACGGCCCAGTGTAATCAAATCGTGCTTTCATTCACCGCATTCTTTCGTTATAGCATTCCAAAACCGCTTTTTCTCTCCAGTTCTTCTCATCTATTCGCCTCCAGGAAGATAGTGTGTAAGCTTAGTTGTAGCAGTTGGAAAAGCCCCTAGTGTTTGTTTTGCATTCAATACCGGCTTAAGTTTAGGTCTAAGCCGCAGGCTCGAGTCACCAGGCGCGCTGGCATCAGGGATGTCGCCGTCTGAATCGCCTGGTCGCGGGTTTGCGAGGCCAAGCCCTTTTTTCGCTGCTACTCTCGAGCCACTCTCTGCCTCGAAGCCGATTTCCTCGGGATCGACACCCAGGCCCTGGAGCTTGCTCTCCTGAAGCGGAGAGGCGAAGTTCAGAGTTCAGTCCATTGGGGCTAGCAAAAAGAACACTGAAAACCATTGAAGAGAAAGAGAGACGAGACACTTCGGGGCTGAGACCCTGCGGCCCTGAAGACTATGCTACAGTTACTATCGATTCTTGGGAGGCTGTGTTCTCAGCCGAGGTGCGTAGACGCGGATGGTGTCGTTGTATTGCTTGGTGGATTGGTGAACCTGGGTGGGGACCACAGTCATGACAAGTCGAATGAGCAAGCACGGGGAAGCTGCTGCGCTGTGCTAAGAGACCTGGTATTGGAGGTCCTTGATCTGCCGGTTCTTGGCACCGAGGACTTGCTCCAACCTGGCAAAAAAAGGTCGATCAAGCAGATAGCGGTCGGTGAAGGAAGCACGCCGAAAGCCACTTCTTCGTGACGTTGGCAACAATGGTTGGATCCAATCGTGCATTGGTCAGGACTTCGGTGAGCTGCGCTTGCTTCCTTGCACCGACGGCGCAGCTGTTGCGACACAACTTCGGTGCTTGCAGGAACGGGAGCTTCCAGGAAGTACAATGCCGAGATTCTCATCGAACTGCTGTGCGAGTGTTTCGAGCTTCTTCTCCAGGACGACATTCTTCCCGAGTTCTGCCTCGAGGGGTCTCGGTCTTGTTGAGTTACATCCCGGAGAAATCTCTCGACGGCCCGCCTTGCGCTGGATTTCTTGCACTGCCTTCTTGAAGCGCTTGTACAAGTCCTTATAGAGCCACGCGAGAGTCGCTCCAGGGAGGCAGCTGGGCAGGTTCTGGGCCGATGACATCTCGCTCCTTCTCCATCTTCCGGTACTTGTCCTCAGAAGCAAAGGAAGCTGCAGGACGATCCCGAAATCACGGCTCTCGCTCCCTCTCTCTCCATCTCTCTCCTCTCTCGCCCGGGCCTCGCAAGTCCTGTACTCCTGCTTGGCCTCCGTGATTTGCTCCTCGCATAGCCCAGTGAGCTTCCAAACGCTGCCCCCGGCTCTGCCCCCGGCTCACAGGAGGCCTCGAGCTTCTTGAAGTGCGCCTTCAAATTCTTCAGGGCCATTTTGTCCTGCTCGGGTAGAGCATCTCGACTGCAGACCGGGTCCGGACTGCGGGCGGCCTTGGTGTAGGTCTTGAGCTCCTCCTCCAACGCTCGCTGCTGCTTGAGCTTCTCCTGCGAGCGGAGACAAACACATCGCGGCGTGCAAACTCGCTACACTGGACCGAGACTGAGCCCACACTAGACGACAACCGTAAGCGAAGCTCCCTGCGCCTCCAGGGGCCGCGTCAGGTCCCGGTTCTCCTGGCAAATTCAGAGCTGAGCAGAGCGGAGCACTGGGCTGCCAAGCGGTCGAAAACGTCATGTGACGAGCGGCCTGCCGGAGCAAGTCCATCTTTTTCTTGTTGGTCTTCTCCTGGCCCGAGCTTTCTGCTTTCCGAGGCATCCGCATGCAGAACAATCCGAGAACGGGTCCTTTTCTTTCATCTCGAAAATCTCGTCCTGGATGCTGCACTTGGTAAAAGGAGAGCAAGCTTCCCCCCAGCCCGTGCCTTCAAGGACTTTATCAGCTGCAGGTTGTCATGGGTGATGTCATTGTAGTAGGCCTCCATGCAGCTGATGCTCGCAAACAGTCCCCCAGGTTGGTTTGTCGGGCACCTTGATCTCATCGAAAGCCTCCTGGTGATTGAAGAGAAGCTCGTTGATATGCCTCGGGGCATACTAAACTGTGAGCCAACTCGTGCTTTTTTTGATCCTGGCGTCCGGACTGATTCTTGCGCTCCTCGATCTCGTGGATCTCCACCTGGCGCTGCATTCCAAGCTCTTCCACAGCAGCACGGGAAAGCCCCAAATTCCAGACCTTGCGGCGGAGCTCGAGGTCAATCTTCAGCTGCTCCACCTGCTCCTCGTACTGAGCCTCGGGAGGTGTCGGCGAGACATGCACGAAGGTCTCACTTTTCCTTATGTGGTGAATCCAGGATGCTCAACCTGTGGCACAGCTTCGTTGCAAAAATGCAGCCATGCGCAAGTGCATGTATCGCTGCATGTACTGTCAGCCCCCGAGCCTGCAAGGAAAGATGGTTCTGCTCGAAGGTGTCGCGAAGATTCTGAAGTCTCTTCGCGAAGCCCTGGCCCAGTGAAGAAACTTCAACCTTGTAGCCTGGTAGCACTAGATTATGGGAGGCAACAGAAGCACCTGCCTGCAGCATCATCTTCACCTCACATGCACCACGCTTGACAAAACACACATCCCGCAAACTGGAAGTTTTCAACAGAACCGAACGGATGGCGAACCCAGACACCGACGGATGTAGAACAGCCGCTGACATCTGACAGCTTAAAACCTTGAAACTGTCGCTCTGGGATGCTCTGGGACCCCATGCCGACCCCAAACCCGGAAATGTTGAGCCTGCCCCACCAACCGTCCTAAGCTTCTGGGCATGCCACAAACCGCTGACGGACAGCTTCGGCAGAAGTTTCCAACGAGAACATCCGCGATCCGGCATGTGCCAGCTGCTCGTTCGGGACGCTTCACGGTTGTTGTTGGGTTTCTGAATCTCGGAAAGCACCGCAAGCATGCTGATGCGCCCCATCCATGAGAAACGACCGGCGGGAGTCAGGCGGCCCAGGGGAACCCACCACACACTAAAGGCGTAAACGGCAGCTTCCGCACCAATGTCACAAAGAACAGACCTTTACCTCTCTGGATTATGTGCGGCAATACATTGGAAGACGGTTAAAACGGTCGCCTCGTCCTCGTTCTCCAGCTGGGTTTCCCGGATGTCCCGTTTCAGCTCCAGCTTCTCCTGAAGTGTATGGCTCACACTGCATCCCCAACCAAATCAAATGATGGGGCCGACTCCAAACCCGCGACAGGGCAGTTGGAGAACGCTTAAACCCTTTCAAACCCTAGACCCCAGAACCATGACCCAACCCCGGCATGCAGCGTGATAGGCGTGAGAAGTAGCTTCTCTTCCCCTCTTCCGCCAGTAGCGGCACGGCTCCGCACCTTGTTCATGTTGAGGAGCTGCTCGGAGTGCAGGTCACGCCTTGGCTTGGGGTTTCGGGAGCACCCGACCCACACTCGGAGTCTCTGTCGCAGTGCATATTCCGATTGCCGTTGTGGCACGCTTTTTGGAGGTCCATGTCACCATTCTCACCCACCTGCCTCTTGGCCTCCTTTTGTTCATACTCCAGGTTCTGCACCTGTTGACGTTCTGGGAGCAAGTCTGATCCTGTCCACCAGCTCTACAGCAAGGCTCTGCACCTTTTGCTCGTGGACTTTGATGTGGACGCGGAAATCACGTTCTAAGATTTCCATCTTTCCTCACGTCACTTCGAAACTTGAACAGTGCAAGTCCAAACACAGCCCAACTCAGACCACGAGCTGTGCAAGCTTGCAGACCAGACGCGGTCCATGTTTAATAGTTCGGCCTCCACCTGTTTGACCTCTGACTTGGTGATCTCGTAGAACCTCCAATCATGCGGGTGGCGATTGGAAGCAGCAGACCACCGCACATGTCCCAACCAAATGCAATGCACATGTCTAGTCTAGTGTGCATTGCTCGTCTGCCCGGCTGACCTGTTCACCATGTCCTTGGCTAGCGGGAAGCGCGAAGCCACCACGAAGTAACAATCCAGGCTGTCGAGTCGCAGGAAGCACTCTCGCAACTGCGTTCAATACTCCAAGCGATAGATAATGAAACTGTCAAGTCTTGCAAATAAAACTTGTTCCGGACCAGGCTCTTTCTCCAGCTGCATGTAATTTCTGTCCTTTGCCGCCTCAGAGCAGACAGACTGAATCATCGAAGACCCATGTCTGGCAGATAGAAATGCGCCTTGCTGAGACGATACTGGAAGGCATCGATTCGATCCCGGAGGTTCGGGATCGTCAGCTCCTGGCGGGAGCTAAGGTCACAGAGGCCATCGAGGCTCTATGAGCGCACGAGCGGCTGGAGTATATCGGCTCCTTGAGGTCGGCCGGGATTTCCTCTACCGGCTCTGGCGCTGCCGCCTTCTTCTTCCTGAAAGGGGCATAGAACAAACCGAAAAACTCTACTCAAGGTGGCCCTCCAGCCGTTCGGACCTTTCTCGGCTGAACTTGAAATAAAGCCGAGCCACTTGCCCTTCTTCCCCATGACTGGGAGTGGGGAGGCTCAGCCCCTTTTGAGCCGAGAGCAAGCACTGCAATGCGAAACTTTGTGGGACAAGACTGCTGAACAAATCAAACGGACCAATATGGAAGTTGGCTTCTCATTGACATGGAGAATCTGAGTCCACAAAAAACTTCTCCGTGGCTGGCACCCAACCGACCACTGCCGCGAGAAGCGTGGCAACTGCCATGTACGCAGGGTAGAACCTCTTCCCAGCTTCACCATGCCGTCTTATGACAAAGCAACATCAAAAAACAATGCACCGAACACGAAGTGCGACGGGGGCAGGCAATGGATGTGTCGTGTGAATTTGCATGCCAAGCCGCCCTTCCGCTGCACCTGCAGGGCACAGGAAGCAAACCCAGCAAACCCCCGAACTCACTTCGGATGCAGAGCACCTCCGCGCGTCACTACCGAATTCAGGCTTCGGCCCTTTCGGCCTCGCTTCCACAAGCGCCAGCCCCAGAACACCCGCTGCAGACACCTCGCTGTCGCTATCGCAAAGAAAACCCCAAGTCCCGAAGTGCGTCTGAAATGGGATGTCACGGTAACTGCGCTCGTTAATTATGCTCTTTCTCCTGAGCGAAGGGACACTGCCACCACGAGGAGTTCTGCGAGCCTTAAGCACACCGATGCGACCGATGCTCAAGTACGTCTCGTCAGAAAGAAGCACTTGGGAAGCTGACGTGGCAGTCAGCGGCATGGCGTAGTGGAATATGAAACCGGCCTTAAGGACAATTGGCCAGGAGGTCTTCCGCGGTACATCACGCCCCAGCTTTTTCGAGGCTCATGCCATCGCAAAGCAGAGCACAAAAACCGCCCACCTTTGGGCCATGCCGTCAGCTCGTGGTTTCTGGAAAATGGCTCTTATTGGCTCGTGCTTCCAGGACGGGCTAGAAAAATGATGCATCTTCGGCAAGTAATAAGCGAGGCAGCTGCGGCAGCAGCAGTGCCAGCAGGAGCGGCGCACCTCGGCGACCCTCGAAAACATCCTCCAACCAGCCAGGGCAAAAGAAGACATCTCAGAATCAGATCTTCACGTAGTTCAGATTGGGTCAGGTTTAGCAGCTGAGTTTGGAGGTTCGCTTTGGCCAGATTTAGCTCGTCCCAGACCCGAGCTGCTCAGATGCAGACAAGCGATCGCTGGCGAGATGAGACGTATGAGACGTTGTCTTGCAAATTGGTTTCCCCCATTGGTTCACCGAATGCGCGTCGCCTAATGGAGCTGTCCCCGCTCCATGATCCCATCACTTCGACCAACAAGACGTGAACATTACTGAGCTTCCCTTTCATGTCTGAAGCGCAAACTTTAGTCTCGAGTCTCTCGGGTCCCAGCCATTTACGCGCCGGCGACGCTTGGACGTTGCCAGCCTGTTGTAACCGGAAACCCCCGAGTGCACCATGCCCCAGAAAACCCAGCCCACCTTGCTGCTTCGGCATCGTGGCTCAGTTGGTCGTCCAGCAACGCGCCGTACAATCTCTGCTTGCCTGATCTGAGAACTTGCGGCGCGCTTTTGAAAGCAATCAGCGATGTCGAGAAGAACCCTTCCTACCAGCAGCCGTAGGATGGCCCCTTGGTGTGCCTTCGGCCCTCCTACGCTTAGAGTTCAAGTGATTTTCTGTGTGGACTCCGGCCTGCGCTCTGCGAGATGTTGCTGCCCTGTGCGGAGTTTCAGCAACTGCGACTCTAATCCCAGGGCGTTCTTCCATGCTTGCGGCGGTCGGTTAAAGAAGGGAGCTCTCTCTCTCTCGCTCTCTGCGTTGCCTGAAGGCCGGGGTCGCCCAGCCCAGGCCTGACGGAAGCACTTCTGGCCACATGTCCTGCAGTGCCATATGGTGACATAAGCAGTCCCCTGGGTCGTCAGCATCGCTGCATTCGGGTCGGAGGGGACGGCAGGAAGCCCCCCGCTGCTAGAGCCGAAAAACCGCGAAGCGAAATTCTGCCGATTGCACTGCGGCACTCTTCCGATCTCTTCAATGTCTTGTCGTGGCGGAGCTCTCTCACCACACGCCCCTTTCTCGAACTGTTCGCGAATGGACTGCGATCTCCCAAGCAGGGACCAGCAAAAGTCTTCGACAGCCTGGCCCTGGCCGTCAGCAAAAAGGCGAAGGCCAAGATAGGAGGGGCCTATACAACGGAACGAAGCGCGTGGCCTCTTCTCTCCTCCCTTGCAGCACCCCTCATTACCTCACATGAGAGAAGACAAGACGAGGCTGCGCATGGCAGGATGCGATGCGCCCAAGTTGCAGCTTTGCTCGGTGCTGGAGCTCCTGGAGCATGGCGGCGTCCAGGCGCTCGTAGCGCTTCGAGGCGGGGTGCAAGACGTAGATCGGGTCTTGGACCTGCGTCTTAGCACGATGAAGCCAGCTTTGCAGCAACGGCCATGCATTGCCATGCCTTCGTTAGGTCGATGCCCTCGTTTCTCAAGTGGACCTTGCGAAACGACGATAGTGTGCAAAAAACGCGGATCGCAAGCTTTTCTCGGCCTTCTGGTGCTTGAAGGTGCCAGTAATTTCCATTGACGGCAAGAAGCGCAAGAAAAGTGGCCGCGCGTAGCCGGGAAGCTCCTGCACGCGAATGACGAGGGAAGTGGCACCCACGAGCTGCAGCTGGCGCCATGTTGCGCCTTCTCGCAAAGGGCCTGCACAGCATCCAGCTTCTCCCTGCTCTGGAGCTCCTTGAAACAAACCCCTGTGCAGGCTCGAGTCGTCGTGAACCCTGTGCGGCTCCTCTGGGCAGTTCAGGGCAGCCATGCAGGCACGGCCATCCGACTCGCCCGGAACCTGGCATTCTCAGGCACATTCCCTCAAAACATCGCCGACCCTCGACTAGATCTCCCTTCTGCAATCCCTGAAGCCAATGCGGAGGAGGGCGAACTTCAGGGTTCAGGATTCGATACATTGTTTAGCATTGCATGAACCCTCCTGACTCCTGACCGTAAGCTCACTCGAATCACGTGTCATGTCAAAACCTCCCCCCGAGCCTGGTTTTCATCCGGTTTTCTACAACCATGACAGGTGCCCTGCTGTTGTCCCAATTCACGCTTCGGCAAACAGGGCGGACCAAGATCCAGTACTGCGAACAAAGCTCCAAACCAAGACCTTAAACCCGAACCCGCCCTTGGTGCTAGCACGGGGCGGAACACTTTTTGGCTACGTCGGGGCGGCGCACCATGCGCAAAGACGTAAACGTCCAGATGTGGTGGTCAGTTCTGTGTATCGGCTGCAGAAGCCACAGAGGATGTGAGGCTCCGCCAGCAATGGACGTAGATTTTCTTGACAAAGCGGCACAGAATGCGCACCGCAAGAAACTTCCACAAGTGAAGGGTCAATCAGAGCGGCTTGCTGGCACATCCTGCACTTGTGTTGAGGGGCCTGGGCCTGGTCTGGATTGGAGAGATACGCCAGTAGCTGCTCGGCCGAACCCAAAGGTGTCTGACAAGCCTTGGCCAGTCTGCATTTCCAGTAATCTCGAGTCACGGCTGACAGCAGCCAGCAGCCTTTCCAGGAAGCGGCTGCGGGGACGTCCAATTTCGAGTCTTTCTCGCTCCGGCCACGCGGTGCACTGGTGACGAAGCGCACGAACTCCAGGCAGGCGTTCTGCAGCCGCTTCACAGAGACCAGGTCCACGTCTCTGCAGAGGTGCAACAAGCGATCCGCGTTCCGGAGGCACAGCGCCTGCAGCGCCTGCAGCGACTCGGCGCCTCCTAAAGGATGTGCCGTGAGGAGGCGCCTCCGCTCGGCGAGGCTCTTGGGCACAAAGTCTCGGAGCGCCGCGTGCACCGCCTGCTTCGAGGCGCTCCGAAAACCCAGAGAACCCAACGTCGCCTTCTCAGCAGCATCTGCTTCTGCCTCTGCCACCCGCGTGAAAATCTCAGCCAAGCCCCAGATCCACTCGATACACCGTTCCAGGCAATTCTCATTCTGAGACATCCTCAGATCCTTGGGGGACTTAAAAGGAAAACCAGTGAATTTCCTTTGCGTCTGTATCTGCCATGACTCCGCGACATCCCACAGACTGCAACAAAAGAATGAGACCTGGCTCTGATGCACAGCCTGGAGGAGACTTCGTAGACTGGCGTTGAAGGAATGCAACGGGCTCCCCACGGGAGTAATCAGCAAGGAGCTTGCCATGCGTTGCTGGGTTGTCCTTTCGGATACAATCACGGTCTGCATCGCCAGCAAGCAATGAGAAGGTGACATGGCAAGCCCGCAGAAAAGGGAGCTACCCCGACGCGCTTCGCGTTCACGTGCTGCGGCGCGCACCATGCGCGCGTCCAGTCGTAAAGCGTTCTGCTCTACCGTGGTGAGCCAATTCTGCCAGCTCCCAGGGACGAGGCTGCAGAGCCTGCCAGGGTCCAAAGTTCCTGTTCCACTTCCGTTGCAAGGAAGCTGCCATAGAACTCCCTGCCCCGAAGAGTCCATTGAGAGTATGTTTGCATTTCGCTGTCTTGCGTCGGTCTGGCTAAGAATTCCGCCTGCAGCGCACAAGACCGAAACGACTGGAACTGCGTGGCACGGCACGCTGGCTGTGTAGGCCGACACTTGTTTCAAGTTTCCCCGCTTGCTGCAACGTAGAACTGCAGCAGAGACATGAACTCCGCGCCCCACTGCAAGGAATACCTCGATTTCATCGGAGATATCGGTCAGAACGGCGAGTTGCCCAATACTACCAAGGCCCACGTCAAAAATGGGAGTCTCGCAGAGAGGAGTACTTGCAAGCTCGCAGCCGTCCGAATCAACAGAGATCCGGTGCACATGGACCTGACCTGTGCTTGTGGCCATGGCCAACAGACTTATCAAGCTTCCATCCAAGGATTGCCAGATTGAAGATGCGGCAACAGCCGTGATCTCCACTGATGGCTCTAGTACGACCCTTCTCAGCCGATGTGGGCCATCGAACTTAGGACCCAGCTTCCAAATCACCACGGACGAGCCTCTGCAAGCACAGAGCAGCGCAGCAACGCGCTTCTTGCCTTCGAGACATATTGGAGAAGGCCAGAAACACAAGTCAAGAATGGAGGCCCGGGACTCCCTCTTTGTTGCCCGTTCAAAGTCTTCGCTCAGGTCAACCAATGCTGAGTCTTTGAGATCAGTTACCTCCTTGGTGCTGCCCATGTCATGGTCACAGGGAGCAGTGACAAAGAGCCTCCCGACGGAATCAAGGATCGCCAACAAGGGACCTCTGACACCCCAGGGCGACCATGCTGCAGCTGCGAACGCCTCCCTCCGGTGTTCAACAATACTCTCCAACTGACTGGGCTCTTGAACCCTTGGCCTCTTCGCTCTCATTGCAGGCTCTGGCAGAGTGTATTTTTTTACAAGGGAGGGCTCCGAGGTCTTCCCAATAGCAGCTTGCACATCCACCACATGGCACTCTTCCTCCGTAAGGAAAGCAACGAAGCTTCCCTGGGACCAGCAAACCGTGCGATGGATGGCACCGCTGCCACAGCCCGAAGGGTGGCCCAAGACAACGCAAGCCGACGCCCATGGCAGATGCCCACCACCCGGCTGCATTTCACAATCACCTCACCTACTCACGAGATCTCGTACCGACACCTCCAGCTTAGTTCCAAAGGATTCGTGAGGAACAAGTCTTCAACACCCTGCACTATCCTACACTATCCTATCGGGTTTCTGGACACGGAGCCCACTCCTGGCACTGCACCCGACAGGCGGTGCGCCTGCACGCCGTAGACGTTGGCTTCCTCGACGCCGGGGAAGCTGGACAGGACCTGCGACACCTCCATGGTGCTCACGTTCCTGAGTACGAGAGACACTGGGGACGCGAGCTTTGCTGCGCGGGACGAGCTGAGAGCGGGCAGCTCCAGGGATGCGTGCTGTGCATGCCAAGCAGCTCGCCCTTCCACCTGCCGTGGCATGCGGTTTCTGTGCCTACTGCCTCGGTGCCTGAACTGCATGCGAGCACATGTGCTGAACTGCTGCATCATCGCTCTGAGAAAACCCCTCAACATGACGGAGACTATCGGTGAGCCGCCAGCCTGAAGGTGTCACCAATTCTGTCCACGAAATACCACAGTCCGCTGGAATCCTCGACATCGCGAGCGCCTCCTTTCACGCGAAGGCACTAGGTTTGTCCTTCGAGAGAAGGTCGCCCGTGCGAAACCAGGCATCACCTTTGGTGAAGACATCACGCAGTACCTGCACGTGACATGGACAACCACCTTTCTCTGTACTGGCAGCCGGTTTCCGAAACCAGGAGGCAGAATTTGTGTGCGCACGGCAGCTGCACAGCAATGCTTTGTCTAGACGTTGCCAAATCGTTGGCTGCAGCGAGATGCAAAAGAAGCCAGACTCATTTAACCTTCCGTGATGGTGCTCGGCTAATGCTGGAAAGGTTTTTTGTCTCTGTCTAGCTTCTTTGTCACAGAGCTGCGCTGAAGTCAACAAAAGTCTCGGCTCAACGTCACTCACACTTCACACCTGCACACTCGAGAGGGCACAGTCAACCACCCGCATACGAATGCAAGCTCCAAGGCTTGCGCTCTCGAGATTATCGGCCCCGAATCTAGAGATGCCGAAGGCTCCAGGTATCTGGGTTAGTTGTAGCTTTGTTTTGCTTAGTCGTAACTTTTGTGTTGCTTAGTCGTGCTTTTTTCGTGCCGTTTCAGCAGGAAGAGGGGTGGGCGAGGCAACTAAGCGTGCACCCTAAACCCTAAACGCACAAACCCCTAAACCCAAAACCCCTAAAACCCCAAACCCTGAACTCATACCCTTAGCCCTTAAACTCTAAAGCGAGTACTATAAACCTGAACGCTAAACCCTAAACATCTTGATCAATCCTTCGCGCGCACGCTAAACCCTAAACCTAGCAACCCCTAAACCCCAAACTCTAAGCCCCCAAACCCTAAACCCATAACTCCCCCGCAAAACCCTAAACCCTGGTGGTGGTTCTCTCTAAACCCTAAACCTTCTTCATGCTGTAAAGGTACCAAAACAGAAATTGTGGGTGAGCAAGGGTTTTGGTATCCCTCCTGCTGAAGCGGACCAAAAAAAGCACAAGGAAAAGTCACGACTGACTACTTCCACTGAAAATGGCCAAAGTTACGACTAAGCAAAAAAGACGCAACTAATCGTGCTTCCCTCCAGGACTCTCTCCCAGCTCGACAACAGCTTAGCCGGGCCCTGGGCAGACAACAAGGCCTCTCCAATCTCAGCCTTCAACACGCCCAATGCTGTTAAGTACGTCGAAACACGACTGGTCTGCACTGCTCATTCGCGGCCCAAGACCCACAACAGTTGCAACAACTTTCCCGGCTGCCTGAGTACCAGTAGGCTTTGATTTGTTGAATAGCATACTGCCAACATCTTCTTGTCTTCGGACAAGCACCCCTCGATGCTCGCAGGCATGCAATGCGTGTTCATTGCATACCCTACACAGAGTCAGAGTCGCAAGCCAGCTTGCTTTCTGTACATTCGTCTTGCTCTGCAAACCAAGGTTGAAGTACCTGGGCGGCAGCACTTTAATGACCTCCTGCTGATTCCTCAATCGGAGCCGAAATGTGGGTTGCTCTTGGGCAAGGCACTAGCTTTGGTCTTGCGCAGTTGGCTGACCCACTGCAGTACCCAAAACAAGGGTGACCATGTTCGCAGATCTGGCCACATCCAGCTATTTAAGAATGGTGACCCCGACTCTAGCGGATCAATCTGTAACTGTCGCATGCAAGGAAAAGCCCAGCATCTTGGCGCAGGAGATCTGCAGGCCAGCTTGATTCAAAATCTTCAAAAGTGGCTCGGTCACGTTGTGGAAATCGTCCCCCACATGTCTGAAGCTGCGTGCTTGGGAGCTTCCCGAGGCGACTGTACAAGCAAATGCCTCGTGGCACACGCATCATGACTGGCACCGCTCAGCCTTCAGAACTCGCAGCACCTTTCAAGAGGAGGAAGCGACGCAAAATGGGCCTCCTCCCCACCTGTGCACCTGCGCGCCTCGCTGGGCTTCCTGGGCTTCCACGTCGCAGCCAACGCCCGCAGGGAGGCGGCCATCAGGACCGAGAGGCCCCAGCAGTACCTGGAAGCAAAGCCACCAGAGAGAGAGAGAGAGAGAGAGAGAGAGACTATAAGAGCGAGCGAGAGAGAGAGAGAGAGAGAGAGAGAGAGAGAGTGAATTTCGGTCGGGGCTGCAGGTATCAGTTTCGGGGCGCAGAGTGGAGGGGCAGGGGGGATTCTTGATGTCTTAGCTGACTCCTACTGGTACTACTAGAACTTCTAGTTTTACTCGTAGTACCAATACCAGTAGTACTACGAGTAATGGCTGCGAGTACTACTAGCGCTACCTCTAAAACTAACACTACAAATACTACTAATACTACTCTAGCACCGCCAGTACAACCCGCACTTACTAGACTTCGGGCACCACAGAATCACATGCACGGCTTGCTGCAAACATCCGATCAAGGACTAAACCCGAAACCTGCAATCCTAAACCCGTATGTCCCACCCCATAACCCTAAATCCTGAAACCTCAACCCCAAGTCATAAGAAGACACTATGAACGTGCTCAGGCCCCTATATGATTTATTTTGGGTGAACAGGGGGCTGGGCTCTTCAAAAGTTCTGTGTTCATTATTGTTGTGGGATGTTGTGGGCGTTGTGTGGCGAAAAGCTGCAAGAGGATCCTACTAGTTACTTCTGGCCTGTATTCTATTGCTGTTTATCTTCTGAACCTCCCAGAAAGCTCGGGCACGATGTTACGAAGCAGCGCAACGACCACGTGTCAGGGTCTGGGCCTGAAACCGACCATATCCTAATCTGAAACTGACCACGTCCTGATCCGAAACTGACAGACCTTTGTCCCGAAACTCCGCCCCGAAACTCAGGCACCGAAACTGACCTCGACAAGCCTGACACTCAAACCGCGACTGCGGCCCGCTGCGCCCTGGCTGCGCCCTGGCGCCTGCGCACACGGACGTTGTGCCAGCCCAGGCCCAAGGAGTTGCCGGTGATGAGAAGCGTGGAAGCAAGGACCTGGCGAGGGCCCAGCTGCGACAGGCTGGGAATGGCTGGGATTTGATGGAAGGTGCCTTGAGGACTTGCCCCACGAAGGCCTGGTGCACCGGCTCCTGTGCCTTCAGAAGTCTCCAGAACAGAAAAAGAACAGCACCCTCTCGCACATATCGCACATACTCGCACTCGCACCTCAAGCAGTTTCTGCAGCTTCAAGGAGTTGCCCAAGCCGAAGCTGCAGCTGGTGAGCATGGCATAAACCGGCAGCGGCAGCAGCGGTGAAGCCGTCAGGATGCTCCGATCCAAAAGCGTTGCAACCGATCCAAGCCAAGTCAGGAGCGAGGCGGCCTGGGCTGGGGCAGTCGAGCCGCTAAAGGCTCAAAGTCCAGTGCAGACATCGGACGGGCGGCTACCACGCCAATCCCCGGCAGGAGCTTGGGTGCTCCACTCAAGAATGCCCGCAGCAGCAGCGGAAGGTAGGCCACGTGCAACAACAACCTGAGCCATTCAGACGGCTTCATGCATCGGAATGCCAGGAAGATGGCCGAGTACACTTCGTCAGTCGGGAACAGGCGACGTGCAAGCTGAAGTAGATAGAAAGGATGATATTTCTGCTGCTGGAGATGTGCGCCAGGATGCGAGATTCCCTGCAAGCATCATCAGTGGTGCGAGCTCACAAATGCCACGACGTGCAAAGCCTTCCTCTGAGGGCCACTGACCCTCACGAAGGTCACAGAGCCACAAAGTCTTGTAAACAGACTTACAGCACCAGACTACCCCTGATCTCGAAACCCACCATCTTCCGATGTGCACGGTTTCATCTAAGCTGACACCATCAACCCTGCAACATGGCGCCCTCGTAAGTTCATGTAAGTCCGCATGTTCGATGTGTCTTCCAATCATGCTCCAATGTCACGAGACACAGCAATACGAAACCCCTGCAAAACCCGCTCCCTTGAAGCGCGACAGCCCCGTGCTTCTGTGCCCGAGCCAGGCCCCTGCTGGAAGGCTTGAGGGTCTGCTCGCTGCGCAGTCGTGTCAGAGGGGCGTTCAAGCTCGGACAGAGGTGGTGTCCGATATGCAAACATATGAAACACGTAACTGCCCTCCATTGCCCTCCCGCAACTATAGGCGCAAGCCGGACGGGCAGCCGGGCCCCCCCCGGATCAGCCGGGACCCCGGCCCCGAGGCAAGGAGCGACAGCGGCATTGGCCGTCCGAGGAAGGCCCCACCAAAGGCGAGGTTCCTAAGGAAGGAAACACCGAAAAACTGAAAAACACTTCGACAGCGAAAAGAAGTGCGAGGCTCCCGACAATGCTGGCTTTGCCCACAGCTCACGCCAAGCATCAGGCACGGGGTGCAGGCCAGGATGTAACCCCAGTCCGTGATCTCCTCGTGAAAGCATAGCAGCCAATTGCATGCCGCCGAGGCTCTGTGCCGAGCCGAGCCGCTGCACTCTGCTTGTGCATGCACTGCATGCCATGGCCCACTGTGAAAAGACTTGCCCCGATGAACTTGATGAGGTGCCTTGGAGTTTGCTCATGTGCGGCTTCCTTTGCATTTTGCCGGTGCCGAGATTTCGGCTACCCTCCACACAAGTGCGAGCAGGAATCCCCAAGCCATCGGCGAAAGCAGGTGACACACGGCGCCGCGCATGCAGATATAAAGCCCGCAAGAACTTCAGATAGATCAGCGGGGCCTTTCGACAAGGGAAGGCTGCAGGCGGAGCACTTTACACAACCTGAAAAAACAACCTTTACACTGCGTCACTGCTTCACATTCCTTTGCTGAAACGCATGTTTGCTGAGGGCTCGACGGAGCTGATCAGGAGCATGGATGGAAAGCCCAGGACTTGCCCACCCATAGCTCCGGGACGTGATGTGACTGCAAAAGGCTGATATGCTCAGAGGTGTCACGCAGAGAGCGCCGCGCGCGCGCCGCGCAGCTTTGGCTTGAGCAAGATACTTCCCCGGGAAAGTGTCCCTGACCTGCCTTCGAAAGACATGCTGGTTGCACTGCAAGCTGTGATCCCACCGGCCGTCAGGCCTTCTTCTCGGTGGCTTTGGAATCCGTATAGCCTTCGAACCTGCGCCAGATTTGGCAAACGGGCGGGTCTGTCCTCCCCCGGCGTAAAACACTTTCTCTTACTCGGCGTTGAAGCCATGCCGGCAAATACAGGGTTAATGTCTCGGACTCGAAAAAAATTTTGCTTATCTGTCAATTGGTCAAGCAGATCGACTAAAAGTCGCCTCGCTGGACTTTCATGTCCAAAACCATGCCATCCGACTGACAGGATGTAGATCATCCGATGGAGGCACCTCCTCGTGGGATGATTGTCGTCGATGGGACAAATCAGCTCGCCTTGGCCGAGAATCGGTCGACTGGTTTTCTGTGTTGTGCTGCAGGATGCTTGCTTTCCAACATCTTGGGACTCCACCTGCCTCGCCCGGTGATGTTTCGATGCCTCAGGAAGGGCACTTCAAGGATTCCGCCAGTGCTGCCGAAGAAATGGAATCCGAGAAGCAGAAGCCATTAGCCCCACGGATGGGAGTCTCGGCATCGACATCAAACTTAACAATCCTGAGCTTCAGGACCTGACGCACGGCGCATCCGCGCAGCCGCGCTGTGAAGCCCAAGAGCGCCTTGTCGAAGAAGAAGCCTCCTTTGCCGATGGCTCCTCGCGAGGCCAGGTCGGTCTTCCTGCGAGCGTGTTGTCACTCGGCTTGTCTAGGCCACTACAAGGAGGCTCCTGCAGTAATTCAGCAGGGCGGCGTTACCTTCTGTGGCGCCGTAGAACCTGAGATCTTGAGGCTGTTTCCAGTACCGTCTGCAGCAAAAACAAGTTCTAGTTTACCAAAACAACCTGCTAGAATGCTAGAAGCACAAGGAACTCAGTCACGACTGGAATGTTGAACTTGTCTTGAAACTCGTCCCAGACTTCCGGCCTTCGCTGCCGTCACACGATGGCGCCAGCATGCGCTGGCACTGCGAGGCCGCTGCCTGAGTCCGTTCCCCACGGCACCTTTGAGCTTGTGTGGGATCTGGGTCACCTCCGGATGCTCCCTGGCATCCGACAATCACAGCATCTCACTTGAGATATGTATCCTGCTGTCGGGACCCTTGGACAGTTCTTCGCCCACATCCCGCGGCAATGCCTGGCGTAGTTAACCAGATAGCGTCCAAGCTCTCCTCCGAAGAAGCGAAGCCAATCGGAGCCCATGAAGATGGAAAAAACAGCATCACGTGCTCATGATGCGCAAACGGTCCGATGTACTGGAAGGCTGTGCAGCCTTGCTCAGAAATTTCTGTCCAAAAGCCTCAGCCCCAAAACGTGCAAGAAATAACATCGCCTTGCTGAAATCACCAATGTGCCGAGGTGCGACTTGCGCTAAACTTCCGTGCCAAGACCAGCGTCGCACCTGACCTGGCAGTCGGCACAAGCGGAAGAACCCAGGACCTAGCATGATCTAACAGCGTGTCTGTGACATATCGGAATCCGAGAAAAGGACACGAGGCACGACATCGTGCCCAACCCGCCACCCGCACTGTGGTAGAGAGGTAAGCACGTGTAGAGCCTGTCACCTGCACAAATGAGAAAAACGCGACAACGCTGTTCTTCCCCTCCGCTTCCTTGCCTGGGCCAAGGCCCAGGATGCCACAAATGCCGCTGAGGCTGTACATCTTGGAGTGCAGGATCTTTGCTGCCTGCGGCGCTCAGTCTATCCTGTTCTGGGGGCAACAAGGGTGACCCTGGCCTTGGGCAGGCCCGTCGTGCCACTGGTATAGATATAACCAAACACGTCGTTGAACTTGATGCCTGCCACAGAAGGACAAACAGCAGGCCGAGGCAGCGGGGAAAGCTTCAGGTGTGCAGGTGACACCGTAGACTATGATTGGTCTGGTTTCCGTGCAATGGGTCTCGAACACCCAGACAAAAGAGCAGCAACAGTATTCGGTCGGGGTTTGAGACCCCACGNNCCCCCCCCCCCCCCCCCCCAACCGAGAGGAGCACAGAAAGCAGGCGAGGAGCATCACCAGAATCGGAGCAAGCCGACCCGTCCACGTCTCCGCACGGTACAGCACGAACTAGCAAAGCTGCATCATCATCTGTTGACAAGGCAATCCTAAATTACCAGGCTACTAGATGTGCTCAGTACCAGTATTATGTCAGACAGAAATTATACAGACGAAGACGCATAACAGGAGGAACATGAAGAAGCGCAAGGAACATGCAAGTACAGAAGAAGCCAACAGCAAGCATGCAAACAATGATCTCAAAATGCAGTGGCTCATTGCTTGGTTGTCACAACCACGGCCACCACCTCGTCTAAGCTCAGCAAATCCGTCTCCTGCCGATGGCACACGGCACACAGAATTTCAGCACAACATTCGAAGCCTCACCTGAGTAGGGAAATCCCAGGAGCTGGTCATAGTCAACTGCCAGGACTGGAGCTTGAAAGCTTCGCCGAGGTTGACCTGACACGGCTATGAGCAACTGCTCATCCAGGGAAAATTTCCAGCTGACCACAGCCTTGCAGGATTTTCCAGCCCAAAAGCAAAATGGAAATGAAATAGAGTCAACGCAGTTGCGCAATTTGTTTCTGTTATCACACACACACACACACCTGGAGGACCTTTCTCCAGCCAATGACGTCATAATGAAGACCGCACAAGCATACACCTAGACACACGAATCTGCCCAAAATGCAGTAGAAGAGAAAGCTGATAGCGCAGCTTTTTTTGTGATACAGTACCACACATGCTCCATAAACCTATCATCAGCTTACAGGCACAATGATAGCTGTGTTCGGTTCTGCCCATCCAACTGCACACTATGTACCTCAAACATTTAAGTGGACATCCGAGGCCACCAAGCAGTGAAAACCAACACAAATCAGACAAACGCAAATTCAGCAGTGCTTCCTGAATAACCGCTGTCTCGAAACAGTCTATGGCGCCGTGAATACCCAGTCGTTGATCAACGAAGGGTTCGCAAAGCGAGCAAATCTAACCTCTAACATGCTCATATTGATCTTGGAATCTTGGCTGTCTATTTTTTTGTGTGCGATGCTCTACAAAATCCAAACCGGAGACGGGCTCCGCAGAACGTAAACCCCATTAAAACGGATGAGAGACAAGAAACCTGAAGTCGCTCACGAGACGAGCCCAGTCACTGTTGCTTCATGCGAACTTTTGCGAACAGCACATAGACAATCATAGACACAAGCCCGCGGGTCCGTAAAACTTTCGGCACTGTCGCAAGTTTATATGCACGCCGCGGAGACTGACTGCCACCTTCGCCCCAACTTGGACAGGTCGCTTCCCGACAGCGGAGGCATCGACAGTTCGAGGAGAGAGTTCGTTTTGCTTCGCAAGCCTGTAGGCTACTGTATTGCTGTTTGCCTCCTTCGCTGCTTGCCCTCAACGGCTTCACGTCGCTCCAAGGTCACGATGAAGCTTTCACAAAACTTGGCATGATGCGGCGGTTCAAATCGCGCCACTGAGACCAGGAAAAATCGACAGGGGATCTAGCAAGGGCGGAGGCGTTCGTTGTTCTTGGGAAGAGGAAAACCTCCGTGGGCTTAGTACGTTCGTCCATTGCGGCTCAGTCGTGGCAAGCTCTCCAGAAACTCAACGACGGCAGCAGGTACTCCGTGCAGGCAAACAGGGAGGTATGAGCATCTTGCCTGATCACTCGAAGGAACTTGATAAAACTGCGTCGGGTCCAATGAGAACTGCGGATGTCGTGGGCACAGTACCAACCATCGGGGACTTAAGGGTGGGAGAAATTAACAAGCTTGGCACTTGTCGGTCAGATGGCATTCTGCTGAGCTAGGACCGGAATGATGTGCAGAGCATTAGGATCAGCAGGAATTGGTGCATCGTGGTCTCGGATCAGGGGACTCCGGTCTGAGATTTTCCTATGTTACTGGTGACATGCAAGGCTTTGCCTGGCAACGCCTCGTGGCATCGTGGAGCATCGAAATTTCAGAGCTCACAGCATATTACAGCACAGTTCTGAACCTCCCCAGCAGAAGAGCTTCATGCGGTGCTCGTGCAAGGCGGCATCAATAGTGTGAAGGTTGGCCTGCAAGCTTTCGATCTCAACTGGACATGCTCTCCATGACAGGTTTGCGAGAAGAGCATCGTAGCAGGACTATCTTCCGATGCTCAGCACTTCAGCATGTCGCACACAATGCTTCTTCTCGCACCTCACACTCACCGTCGAACACGACTCCGAGGCAGTCCTCGTTCGAAACATGAGAGAGTTCAGCAACTCAGAACTTTGTGTTAGGATCGCTTGCCCTGCTGTAACAAGGGAACCAATCCTTCGATTGTACCAGTACCTGCCTGCACGGCGGAACACAGACAATGAGCTAAGCCACGACCTGAGCCAGGAGCCGGCGGATTTTCTAACACGCTTCAAAAAGCCACAAGCCACGGTCTGCCTGTGAGGTTGTAATTCAAAAGGGCAACCTGTCCAAAATTCGCGTCCTACACAAGCCAGGGAAGAACCCGCACGGAGCGACCTGCCTTGACTCCAATTTTCGCCTCATTTGTCTCGGAAGACTGTGACACTGCGACACTTGTCCTGCTTGCTCATGAAAGGGAAAAACTCTCAAATCGACCGAGCTAGTCGCCATGGCCAACCACCAACAAACGTATTCCGGCTTGTTCTCCATCATGAGCGCCAGGGCCTTCAGAGAATCAGAAGATATCGTCCAAATGCGAACATTTTGTACAGTGAAGCAGCCGCGTATAACTATCAGTCATCGTGCCGTTACCCGCCTGCCCGGGTTGAAAGCCCTCCTGCCGTAGCAGATGTGCCATCTGATTGGACACGCGGTCCACATCCTGCACTTGTTTAGGCTACAACCAATGCTCCGACAGACTTGCGTTCGGCTCTGCCGTCCTGGAAAGTCATCCTACGATGCTCGAACACAATGAATGTCTCACTGCCGAAACGTCTGACAGACTCCATCCACCTGTCATCACGACAGGAGTTTCACAGCAAACATCGCCAACTACCGAGATCAAAATAAGGCCGGCTGGACACGTCTGCCAAGGAATGACCTGAAGTCTGACATGCAAAACCAGAACACCACGGGGTTTTGTTCGGGACTGAGCTTGCCACTGCTCAACCGAAGACCTTGGCACTCAGGCCTATGCTCTAGCAGACTCTAGCAGCCTAGCAGCGAATAGCAGCCGCTCTAAACTGCTAGCCCTTCTGCCGTCGAGAGGCGCCTCCGAAGAGCAATCAACGTGGGGAGCAGGTTCATGCCAAGTCTCGCATCGTTTATCAGGCGAAACCTGCTCAAGATCTGCAGGAATCGTGCAGCGGTACCATGTCCATGACACGCTTCATGACATGAGACAAGGAGGCGCCCGGGCTTCCTGTCCAGGGCAAAGGCGGCGGCCAAGGCTCCGACTCCTGCGAAGGACGACAGCTGGGCATACTTGGCTGCGGCTCTCTGCGACGTACCGCGGCCTGCCAAGGGCGTCGCCACCGACGAGCCGCGATTATTTGCCATCGCGGTTCTGCTGCGGCGGATTTACGCCTCCAAAGGCTTTAAAGAAAGCTGCAAAGTTGCAGAAGTTGACCCTTGACGAACTTGATCCTACATAACAGCCAGTTGCCATGTTGTCATGACCATGGTGTTCCACGGCTTCACTTGACATGGATCAAGCTACGGCTAAAAAGCTCGAGAAAGAATGCAAGCGGGATGCTCGCTGCCGGCACTGTTATCAAGCCGACACTGCCATTTCACGACAACAGCGTGCAGTGTGTGGATCCCAGTCTCGTGTCAGCATTGGTCTTGTAGTACATGTGTCTTTGAAAGCAGGTCTCGGGCTAGTCTACAGTTTAGAATCGTGCACATGCGGCCTACGAGTCAGTATTGTCGATGGTACTGATAGTACCATGTTAAAGTACGAGTACCCTCCAGATGACATGATGCACGATGGCCAGACAAAAGCTCGAGTAACCTAATTGCCATATCGCTATGTTTGCAAGGCAAACATCGGACAGCCACTGATGCTGCTCGGCATTTCTAACACGGTGTGAAGGCCGACGCTGATGATTTGAATTACTGCCTTCCGACATACATGGGCGGGGCCGGCCCATTCAAATCTGAATGCTTGTGGCATTCAAACGCTGTGCCATCCCACGGGTCAAAACTCAATGCAGTCCAATACCTGCCAACCACGCAGCCTCTCCGGAGCACGCGGCAGGCTGGGCATGTGCTGCTGCAATGCTCTCAAGATCATCGCCGCGGACTGCGTTCTCGGTCGCGAGCGCCGCCACCTTTTGCAGTAGGTTGCAGCACGACGTCAGCTGATCTGCCACCGGATTATCGAGCCTCCCAGCTCCCCGCAATCCTCACCGGAGCGCGCGTTGCATCAGACTCCTAACAACATGCAGACGATGCCGCAGGCCTCAATCACAACCGGTCGCCGAGTCCTGTGCGCAAGAGCCGCATCTGTGTCATGTCACTTCTGCAAGCAGATCTCGTCTGAGGTAGGGTCTTGCCAGAACTGGTCCCCTCTTTCTCAATCAGCCGCACCTCAGACCATGAGACTCTGCTTCCGACCTGTGAGAGATTCCTCTGTCTCAGCCAAGCACAACGTCCATGCCTTCAACCACCTGCCAGAGCAACTAGAATCGCTAGATGAGAACACTCTTCGGTTCCTCGTGGCTCGTCGGCTTGACCTCGAACCGATCCCTCTGAGAAGCTTTGGCATTCTCCACAGATCGCAATCGTGCTCGGACCACGCTTGCGACAGTGCCATGCACGTTTTGGGGTGCACCGTGCCATTCTGCGGCAAGTTTTTTTGAGCAGGTCCTCACCCGGGATCGAAAGAGGGACTCCAAAGCAAGCAGTTGCTGTTGGCTATTGGTGCCCGGATTGGTGCCCGATCTCGTATTCGTAGTGGTGCTCGATCTTGGTCCCTGGCTCCTGTATCGCTCCGGAAATCGTGCTGCCGCCACGGTGCCGTGCACTTCCAGTGCCAATATTGTGCTCTGCGACCGTCTGCTGCGCATGTTGAACTCGTGGCGTGATCTAGGGAGCTGCAGGGGTGCTCATGGAATAATTATCGAGTTACTATGTGCTGGACCAGCAGAATTCTCGTCATTTTCGTGCTCGTCTGCATGGGACTCTTCTTGGGGTTGGGTTTGTTTTGGGTTAATTTGCAGGCTTCGAAAACCTTGCAAAACCTAAGTTATCTCAAGGGAATCCTCGTGCCGAGCAGAACCCGACTGGAGGATGTCTTCAAGCTAGGGCATCTTCTGGAGGAGTCCAGACGGGAAATTTTGTTGTTCAAGCTCTCGAACTGGCGAATCGACTTTCGAATGGGCTGTTTAGATTAGATAAATAAACTGTTTAGGGGCTACAGGATCTGACCAGGGCTCAGAGGTGAGGGTATATTTGTCTTTGGATGGCGCGGGTTGCATAGGAGTCAAGGGGTTGTAGGCAGCACTTAGTGTCACCATTTGCGTTTGGGACGGTTTTTTGTCGGAAGAAAAGGATTCTATATGCAATTATAGGCAATACTCAGCATGATTGTTTGTGTTCGGCTGCCTACAACGCTTGTGGAAGTGGTGAAGTGGTAGAAGCAAGTAGCTGTACGCGATGGGTGCTGCCAGCTGTGCATGCAGCTCCTTCACCGAAACGAACACTACGGGAACATGGTCACAGTGTGACAACACCTGGAGTCCAGCCGCAGGGCCTCGAAAGGTCCCCACGACGCCTGTTCACTGGTCTGAAACTCGCACAGACGCCCAAGCAGAGCCACTCGACGATGCAAGCTCCTCCTGAGCCCATCTGCGACCTCCAACACCGAGGACTGAACACTCCTGCCCGCCCTCCAACTAAGTAACTGGCAGGATGCTGCATAGGCGATACTTGGCATGGTTATTCGTGTATTGACGAAAACGCACAACAAGAATCCCTACCTCTGAAAGTCTACACCGGATGCGGGTTGGCATACTGCGCAGGACGAAAGTTTGGCCTATTCGTTGTTTCGTCTTACACAGGCCCCCATTCTTCCGTAGAGTCCTAACAAAGGCTGAAAGAAACGCGGGGCAGTCCTCCGGAACATTAAAGTAATATAATTCCCAACGGAGAAAAACTACTCCGCTGGCCATGACACGTAATTCACACTTTTCGGTAGGCCGTTACTCCGCGAGACCTCATAAGACAAGAAAGGTCCAGTAGGTCAAACTTTTGTCCTCCCAATGATTAATTTTGTCTGCTTCAAGTCCGTTGCCACCGAACGCAGTCCCGATCCTGCCTTGCCGAAGACCACGTGTTTGCCATTCAGGTGTGGCGTATCCTCCGATGCATACAACCACCACAGAAGGAACTTAAGCACTTGCACCCTGAGGAATCCACCGTCGTGCACAAAAAGAACTGCGATCCGTTGGTGTTAGGCCTTGCATGCGTGTCGAGCTGCACCACGTGCGATCTCGCTGTCTCGCCTATCTTCGATTTTAAGACCTCTACCCTGCATTTGCCATGGACAGAATTCCAGGTCCTGTGTGCTTGTGCTTGAAGTTCTCATCACCTCATGTGGCCACAGACACTTGCACACTCGAAGCCATCGTGCAACTTGGCACCTGCTACTCTTCTGCAAACTGCGCGAAGATTTATCTACGGTACGAGCAGAACCAGGTTGCGGCATATCACATCTGTGCCTGCTGAGCTTGATGTGTGGATCAACATATTATGTGCATCTGGGGAGTTTTGATGGACTCGGACATGCAAACTGGGGTACAGCAATGCAGCTGCGAATGCCGCGCTTCCTGGAGTCCTAGAACATGCCAGGGACTCAAGACCAAGACCTGACAGTCAGCCGTTCCCAGTCCTAGTGGCCAGACAAAAGCTTTTCACAAAGCTACTGCACTCAGCCTTGACAGAGTGCAGCACGAATCCTTGAAGTATGTGCCGAGTCCCTCAAAGAAGGGGTACTCGAACACACATGCCAGCTTGAACACTGGAACCAACCGAAGCAGAGTTGGTCGACAACAAGTGGTTCAGTCTATATAGCTAATGTTACGAGCAGTGAAAAGTCTATGACTGAAAGTGTTGGATGTGAACACCGTTCGATGTCTCAAGACTTTAGCTGTGTGCAAAAAAGGGTGGTTCTTAGAAGATACACGCAACGTGTTTACGACTAATCTTCAGTTCGATACTGATGAGAACTTTTTATAGCTGCGATAATTCTGAACTTCGTTTCAACAGCATCAACCTCAAGGTAAAACAAAGTGGTCCCAGTCTGCGAGTTTCAAAGCTGAAATCTTGAAAAGTTGCAAACACCCTCAACCGAAGATCGAAGACCATGAGGACTGGGAGGAACTTCTTCGCACACGTCATCAACTCTACGGTAGCGTGCCAAAGTGTCATTACTCATCCCGACACTTTGCCAGGCATGTTCAAGCATATGCTGCAACCCTCAAAGTTCTGAGAATTGAGATTCAGCACGTTTCCAGACTTTTTCGAAACCCTGCAGTGATCAGACTCCTGGCAACACAGTTCTCAAGAATCTTAAACCTTCAGTTGGAGTATACGAATAGAACTAGAAAAATTAAACCTACGAAACTGGGAAGCATGCAAGCAATGCCAAAAAAGACCTACTCCGTCGAACTCATGCTTTGTCGTGAACGACTGCTTGAAAAGGCAAGGGGCCAAGATGAGAACCAATGTACAACACACCCATTTTTTGCTAATCCGCGAACAGCCTTACTTGCAAGCATCCAAACAAAGCCGAGCGAGCCCTGAAAGCATGCAAATAAGGCCGAAAGCAGTCGATGTTCTTGCTCTCAGTTTTCCACCCTAACCTGCCCCACGGGAGTATATAGTGTGCATTGAAGATTCCGGGCAAAGCAGTGCAAGGAATCTTCACTCGTCAGTTGACTGCATTAAACATGAATGCCTTTGAGAGTTCATGCTCCACACAGTTAGCCGTATTGAATCTCATGACTTCTTGCTAAGGGTCCAAAGCCATGCAAATCCAAGTATCCTGCAGCTGTGTTTAAAAATCTTCAATCTTCAGTTGGATTCCGAGCATGCCGACAAGGCCCAACAGTTGCGTAATCTTGTGCTTTGTTGAAGCGAGCCGACATGCAAACACCGTCGAAACTAGATGTACCTTTAGAAGCTCGTGCACGGCCCTACTCGCAGGAACAAGAATGTAAACAATTCCGAAGAAGAAAGCAGCCTGTTAGGCATCAATCTATCCAGAACGGCCTGATTGAAGGGAAGAAGCATGTGCAGGGAACAACGGCATTCCACGCTTCTCGAACCTCATCTTTAAATAATTGAAATTGCCGGTACAGCCTAAGAATCTTCATTCTCCAGTTGACAAAGTTGAGACGAATAGATTTCAAAACTCTCCAATAATCGTCGTGAAACTCCGGGTTTCGTGGAACTTGCAGTTCGGATGTGCAGACAGTGTAGACGTCATAGATTCAGGATAGTTCGGGGTCCGAGTACATGCATGTGTAGGTATGTAACGGTAACGTATGTATGTA